AAACTTGCAGAAGGTCTCCATGAGAGAACTGGATGGAGACGGGAGATGCGCATCTTTGAAGTGTCTGCCCACAGAATTGGTACCTGCCACACAAACTACTTGAGTGCATTCAAAGTCAGCATATCAGCTTGCCTATAAGCTCATCTACTTTATGAAGAAAGCTACCTGCCAACTGTGTTCACACTTCCAAAGACAAGCAAGTCAAGGGCCAACTATAATCCAGAGGAAACTTCCCTGCTTCAGTGTGTGTTGAGGGTCTTTGATTCCCTTTTGCCCTTATCACCTTTACCTCTCGGGGAAGAAAACTGGAAGTCTTGTCCGGACAATGAAGTTCCTTTCCATTCTGCTTAAGCACCTCTAAAACAGGAGCAATTTATCCATCCTTCCTTCTATCTAAGTAGCACTACTAAGACCTTCACTGTCTTTCAGGCAGTGATGGGCGAAGTTTTTTTTTTTTTTAGTTTATTTATTTAAACACAGGACAACTGCTTCTGCCATTTGATTTTCTCCTCTAGAATCCCAAAGCTTGAAAGCATACAACCCCTGAGAATCAGAGATGAAAGGTGTTTGGAAAAAGTCCCACCATTCTCTGCTCCCCTCAGCTCCTACCAGACCTTCATTCATTAGCAAAAAACTGGGGAGAATAAAAAACCTCAAATGTAACTTTTCTTCCCTTCTTCCACTTCCCTTTTCTCCCCCTCCAGTTCAGGTTTCCCTTAAAAGATAACTTCATTCCCTTCCCTCAAACAAGTAGTTTCCGGATTTGATTTTTGTTACAAGTATGTTAAGTCTGGTGACTTTGCAGCAGCCTAGGAGGTAGGCCCCTCTTCCCATGCTCTGCAGGGACGCAGAAGGCTTGCGGGAGCATCCAGGTCCCCAAGCCGGAATCAGAAGCAAATGCAACAAACTTTGCAAGTTACAAATGGGCTGTGCCGGTGGCAGTCAGCAGTTGGGTGTCTCCTGCTCTCAGTGCTCACCATGGCTGATTCCAAGGCTGGGTGAAGATAGTGGGATATAATCAAGGGAATATAAAGGGGGTTGGGCCACCCCACCTCCTCTAGTCTTAGTGAAAGTGTTGCAAAGTGAGTCAGGCGACTGACTGAAATCATCTGACTGAACTTTCTTGAAACCAACACACATTCTTGTCTTCAGGCAACTCTTCTTGTCTGCAAGCAACTAGCTTTTTGCCTCCTTCCCCCTCACCCAGCTCCCCTTTTCCTCCTGCACATCTTATTTTCTGGGAAGAGATTTCCAACTTTCCATGTGGGTGAAAGGACACTGCCTGCCCAGTGTGGGCTAGCTTGGCCCTGGACCTGCCTTTGCCAGGCATCTTGCTAGCCTGAGAATCTGGAAGGAGTTATTATTCTCACTTCTCTCTTGGTACATTTATTTTCCTCGAACAGTTTCTTTCTCCTTTGCTTTTTAATAATTGTACACAGTACCATCTTCTAACCCAGCCTTTCAAACACACACACACACACACACACACACCATTACATGTTTTATCTCCTTGTCGCCTTGGTCTATATATACACTGTTGACTTCATTAAAATTATATAAAATGCCATTCTGGGTTCTTGGATGACCATCTTTTCCCCTTCACAGCCTTCTACTTCTATGATTATTATTGTCATTATTCCTTTCCAGGAATTTCTATATGATATTGATAAGCATCATTATATTTAGTGTTATCTGCAAAGACACAAGCTCAAAAGTGACATCTTTTCCATGAATTCAGGAAAGAAGAAAAATCCACTCCGTCCAGATAAATCCTGGCAATTCCCAAAGGAAAAGGCATTGAGAGTATATGTTTGATGAGAAAGAAAATGAAAAAAGTGGGGAGGGGACTTCTACCTGCATCTTAAAACCACGACCTTGCTCAATCAGATGAAACCCAGTGAACATACTGACAAGTAACGAATTTGCAGCCTGTGTTCTCACAGATTATTTGGAAAAAGAGATAGGTAAAAGTCCAAGTTACAGATTCTGTAAGCATCAGACAGGCTTACTGTTAAGTTTTCAGGGTCTGGGTTAAATGCCTTAAGATGTGCAAATTTAATTTTCCACTTCAGAGTGAGGCGGCTTTTCCCAAATGAGTGGCTGGGCAGAGGGTAGATGACAGTGCACCTCCAAGGCACTCCATTCCACCTGGAGAAGCACCAACAACTCCCCTGCCGCGGTCACCCCCAGAAGTTCCCAGGAGTTGGGCACACTCTCCCCCCCTCCCCACCCCCAGAATTAGGCTGTGGCATGACCTCATTGCTGGGGCCAACTGTTCCTGAGTGGCAAAACTGTGAAGGGAGTGGAAGGAGGAAGGCAAGAAGAAACAACACTGAATAGTCTTCCTTGAAAAAAAGAACACTTTTAGGAGCTGTGTTTTAAATCTCATTCTTTTCTCTCTCTTAAAAAATGACTTTAACATGGGGGGGGGCGCTCCTTGACACAAAGCTTTTGTTATCCAGTTGATCAGCAACGTGCTTTAAATACTTGTAAGGGGGGGAGCCCCACAACAGACATTGATTTTAGAAAATCAATAACCAACATTTAATAAAAGGAACAGAGGAAACACAAGAGAGGAGAGGGGGGACATTAGGTGTAATTTTAGTGTCTACTAAATTACCCAGAGATGGAGAAGGGGAGGTCTCCTGTGTAAGGACCACCTTAAATAATGCCAGACATGAGAATGAAGAAAAAAATTAAATTAACACACACACACACACACACACACACACACACACACACACACACACACCACTTGAAGAGAAGCAGCCTGAACTGAATCTTGGGGACACAGCTCGTAATACATTATTGCACTTGGTTTTTGTAATACTGAGCCAAGCAAATAGATCAAAGACAGCACAAAGAGGAAAGGCAGGATAATGTAACCGTTTCTGACTAAAATTCCTCTATCACTCCCCCATATGGCTCGACACCTTCACCACAACAAGCAAAAGACACACACACACACACACACACACACACACACACGAGATGAAAGGAGAGGCATCATTTATCTCTAAACAAAATTCCCTCGTCTTTGTGTTTTTTCTCCCTTTAGCGCCCCACACGGCACCCCCAGCCGCCCCCTCTTCGCACCGCGCGGCAGTGGGGCAGGCTGGGGGCGCGCACGATTGTGTTCTCTAGAGGAAAGTTGCTCCAAGTGGGCCCCGGCGGTCCTTGCAAGGCGCGGGTTGGGGTTGCAGGAGGCCGGGCGAACGCTTCAACACCGCACCCAGCTTGGGAGCGTCTAAGCGGCCCGGCTCCGGGTGATCGGACTGAGAGCAAAAGGGACGATAAGTTTCCTTTCCGAGTCGGTCCGGGTTGGCACTGGTTCCCTTGTTTGTTTTGAGGGTTTGGCGCTTTCTCTCTCTCTCTCTCTCTCTCTCTCTCTCTCTCTCTCTCTCGTCAGTATCCTCCCTTCATTCCCCCCCCCCAGCCCTCTCTCTAGTCCCCAGTATCTCCCCTCCCCCAGGCGACTTCTGCGCACTTGCCAATCACTTTTCTCTTTTATTCCCACGATTTTGTTTGGGGGTAATACCTAGGGGGTCTCTCTCTCTCTCTCTCTCTCTCTCTCTCTCTCTCCTCTCTTCCTTTCTACAAGATGTCCTACTAAACTGTCACACGCATCCCCTCCGATCTCCCACCTCTGGTGTGTATGTGTGTGTCCCCCCTCGTTCCCTCCTCTGCTTCCTCCTCCCTGACTCAGGCTGGATAACGGGCTCCTCTTGACCGTGTAAAAACTGCCTGGAAAAGTCTCGCTGTGCCCCGCGACTGCTCCAGCCCTCAGCGTAGGGGCCAGGGACGCCTGCGAGGAGCCACGGGTCCCCGAGCCCGCTGGGACCCAGCTGGATCTCGCCCGGGCCGGCGGAATCCCTCCCACCCCCGGAGCTCGGCGCTCCGGGCCGGGCCCCGCTGCCCGCGGACCGTTACTTGGCGCACGGAGAGGCGGTGGGGCGACTCCGGCAAGAAACTTTAAGCCTTGATGAAGCACAGCCCCGGGGTCCCCTCTTCCGCCCACTCAGTCTCCCTCTGTCTCCCCACCCTCAGCGCGGGGACCCTGCACGACCTGGCGCCCAAGCCCCCGCCCTGCCCAAGCCGGACGCTCCCGCTGCCCAGCCGGGGACCAGCGGGCCGGGCGCGAGAGGAGCGGGAGGCGGAGGGAAAGGAGGGCGGAGGTAGGGGCACTAGGAAGCCGTGGAGCTGGGGGCACGGGGCCCCTGCCGGACCCCAGTGCTTGGAGCCCCTGGGGCGTCCGACGATCACTTTGCCCCGCACTTCCCCAAACTCCCCCCCACCACCCCCAGGTCCAGCCGCCGCGCGCGCCCGGCTCGGGCGCCCAGCCGCGGAGAGAGGCTCGCCCGCGAGCCCCGGGCGCTGCCACCGCCGCCTCGGTTCTTTTTCCCTCCCCCCACCCCCTTGTCCCTGGGTCTGGAGCCGCAAAGTGGCCCGGAAAAGTTTGGTTTGGGCCTTTTCTTACCGTTTTTCCTCCTGGGATTGGCTTGTTTGCGCCTCTTGCACCGGGGGCCATCCGCCATGATCGGCTGCTTCATTGATAAGAGCAGATCAGATGGCAGTTCGCATGGACTCGGCGCCCTGCTCCGGCAGCACGCAGGCTCGATCTAGCAACCAAACACAGCGACAATGTGGGCATCGCCCGCGCCCATTGAAACGCGCGCGGGCCGCCCAGGGGAGCCGGGCCAGGGCCGCGAGGAGCACCCATCCGCGCCCCCCAACGCCAAAGCGAAACTTCGGCGGCCCCCTCCCCGCCCCCCACCCCCAGCCTTGGCCCTGCGGCGCTTTGTGTTTGTTACTGTTTGGTGTGTTGCACTCGCGAGGGGATCAGAGAGACAAGAATTACATCTTCAAAATGAGTCATAACTCCTGACCGTATGAGGGAATGCACACGGCGGTACAGTAAGACTGCCTGACTCAGGGCTAGGCGGACCCTTTCCTCCGAAAAGTCCTCTGCTCGGCTTGGGAACTTGGGGGTGAGGCGAGGCTCCCTTTCGTTCTCATCTTTCCTCCTATCCCCCCTCCCTCCCCCGGACACCCCATTTCCCAAGAGGGAAGAAAGAAACAACGCGAAAAGAGCCCCCCTGGATGAAGCACGCTCGGGTAAATTGATAATAGTAATTATAGGAAGCCCACTCGCCCCGCGCCCCCTCCCCTCCCCTTTTGGAGTTTATCAAGGCATTCTCTCACCCCCCCCCCACCACACACACACACACACACCCTCCGCCCCCAAGTTAAGATTTCCCATTTTACCCGGCAATGAGAAATATAATTACAAGCCTCTTTGGACACTGTTCCTCCCCCCCCTCCCCACCGCTTTGACAATATTTACTTAAGTCTCCCCCAACCTCACTTACACACATGCTCCCCCACACTGGTCCCCTTAAATAGTTCCAGTAGGAGAAAAAAAAATATTTCCCTCAAGAAAGGAAAGAGAAAGTCCAACCACTACGGCAATACTTTTTAAGCTCTATTAAATGATCGTATCCTTTCTGGCTTCGAAACTTTTGTACCTAAAAATCGAGAGAGGCGCTGCATTTTTTTTTTCAGCAGAAACTGTCAAAACTTGGAGAAGGGAACCTCGCGGGCAGGCAGGAGAGGAGGAGAATCCTGAAAGTCGGTGGAGGTTGGGAAGATGCTGTGCCTCGAGGATTAGTTTAAACAGGGGGCTATAAAAGATGTAACAGATGCAAACTGTAACACAAGGGCCATTAACCCTTTCTCTGCCTCCAGTACACTCAGTCCCTACGCCCCGCACCTATTGTCTCCCATGCTCGAAGCGTTGCGGAAAACCTGGAAAGTGAGTATCAGTTTCCACACATTTGTTGATAGGGGTGAAGGGGGGGAGGCAGAAGAGGGGAAGTGGATGTTTTAGAGAGGACCTTAGAATTACCTAGGCATGCACAGAAAGAGACTTGTAAGTTTGACACATTTTAATCATTTCTTGCCTGTCTTATTGATCTGAAAATGTCGAGGGAGGGGTTGAGATCCTGAAATAAAGAAATGGTCATGCAAGTGTCTGGGGTGAAACAGCTGGCCTGTCTGCATGCATGCTGAGACTCACACACAATTGCATATAAATATATGTTTAATAAAGTAAGTTGCTAGTTTTATGAGCGAGTGGGGGGGAGAGGAGAAAGAGAGAGGAGCATTTGTGCTATAAACTTTATCTTTGGCTGTTATTCCTAACTCTGGAGTAAGTAATCTTATCCTCATCATTACAGGAGAGCATGTAAAATATATAAGTAGGTGGGAGATAAACACATTTATGTTAGCTGAGCTTACCACTGTTCCTGGGAAGTCCTGCTCTCTCTCTCTCTCAACTTCTTAGTCCCAAACTATGAAATGGCATGTGTGTGTGACTCCTATGAAATCCATTCCTATGTTACTTGGCTATTAAAAATACAGTGATAAAAGTTACCCTAATTTTAAACCTCGATACCCTGACAGTAGTTTTCTTTCCCAGCTGTAGTGACCCCCACCCACTTTGGTAAACGACTCAAGTTCCATGAGGACTTTCACTTCTTTATTTATAATCACAGAAGTGAGGTGTTACTTCACACACACACACACATACACACACACAAAGAATGAAATAAAGAAATGAAACTCGCTAAGCAGACAAAAACAGGCAACTTTCTGCTTAGAAAACAGCCTTCTTGGGTGGGAGAAGTTGGATTGCCATGTCTAAGAGAAAGACTTACTCTCGAATTGAGTAGATCTATATCAAACAAGTTTTATAATTATTAACAGGTATTTGCCAAGTTTTAATTGGTGAACATAATGAATTGGAGCTAGATGCGAAAATAGAGAAGTTATCCTCTCGATGAGTTTTGATTCCAGCCATATAGTTCTCAATAAAACTTTCTTAGGCTGGGCAGCAAAAGTCACCTTTGGTTACCTGAGTGGACAGGTACAGGGCTAATTATTTGGGGAAGGAAAAAGGGAGAGTAAAAGGAAGGAGAGAGTTAGAAAACAAGAGAAGGCAAAGAAGCCACTCCTGGGAAAAGCATACCATAAAGCAGCTAAACCCACCTGAAATTCCTACCCACAGACAGCCCTTCTCACTTCAGACACATCCCCACTCAAAGGGAGAAAATTAGAAAAGGATGAGGACACACACAAAAAAAGGGTAAAAAAAAAAACCAACAAAAAGAAGGGAAAGGGGGGGAAACCTACCTGCGAAGTCTTGTTTGTAGTTTTGGCCAGAAATGGTGAGAAGAAAAAGCATGAAGAAGCCGCGAAGTGTGGGGGAGAAAAAGGTGGAAGCGAAGAAACAGCTCCCGGAGCAAACTGTACAAAACCTCGCCAAGAGTGTCGGGAGGCAGGACCGTTATTCCTGCGGAGCAGGTTAGGACTGATCTCTTTTCGGCCACTCCAGGAAACACAAACCTGGGGACGGACTGACGTGTTACGCCTCTTCTAATGACATTTTTTTCTTTTTCTTTTCTGTAGGGGAGAGAAGAGAGACCCTGAAACACGCGCCACCTATCTTTGTGGGGAGGGATAATTGAAGCGCCCTGAGCGTGAGCATCATGTGAAAACGTGATCGCCAAGTTTCTCTCTGGGAAAGGATCTGGGATAGATTATACCTTGAAGTCTCCGCAAACGCTTTAGTGGAAGAAATGAAATTCCACCTCCCTCCCTTCCTCTCTCCCTCCCGCGCGTCTCCTCTCTCCCTCTCTCTCTCTCTCTCTCTCTCTCTCTCTCTCTCTCTTTCTCTCCCCCTCCCTCTCCCTCCCCGCGTCCCTTCCTCTACTCCCTCCTTCTCCCTCACCCACCCTCCACCCTTCCCCTCCCTCTCTCCCTCTCTCCCTCCCTTCTCCACGCCCCCCCCCCTTCAAGCCTTTGGCATCATTATCCTCATCACTAAATCCTACAGAGTACAGGGCGGAAAACCGTGCACATCACTCACAACTACAGAACTCCAAGGGACGAAAGTTAAAGGGAAAGATCCTGGGTCTTCAATCCAGATCACCCCTTTCTATTTCTTTAATAGAGATATCTCTAATGACCAGATTTGAGCTGTTGTGTGGCTTTCAGAAAAGCTTCTGATTAAATTCTTTACCCCCCTCTCTCTTAAGATGCAAAAGCCAGAGGGTGGGGGTAGGGGGAGTGTACATAGAAACGGAATCTTAGGGTGTGTGTAGGGGTGACTTGGATCATGATATTAAATGTACTTGGGGATTTTAATAAATGGTCACTAAATTAATGCAGAACATTATATTGACCAATCAGTAGATCTTCCTGCATCTCAGAGACCTCCATACAAAGTGAGTATGCAGACAGGCAGACAGAAAAGGAGAAAGGCCATAGAGGAACTTAGCAGGGAAGAGAGAGCACAATATTAAACGGCATGGGGTCTAAGTTTTGGAATATATTTTTTGATATTGCAATTAAAGTAAAATTAAAAAGAAAAGACTCCACCTTTGCTCTGAAGGGATTGGTTATGCAAATATGGAAGGGATTTCCTGGAGAATACAGCTTTCTACTGTATGGTTAATTAAATAATCACTCAAAAGCTTCCAACATGACGCTTCTGTCGTAATCCAATCAGGTTACATAGGTCCTAAACAAGAAAGATATTTTCCACATCTGGAAGTCAGCAATTTAGCAAGTACTGCACATTATTAACCAATTCAGAGCCCACTTCCCAGGGGAATTTTTTTTGAAGTTTAAGTGTTCTTAACCAATGCTCTGCTGTTTTGTTAATCAAAAAGCTGGTTTACACTGCACATAATTGGAACTAATATAGAAGTAAATAAAGACAGCCAAATTTGAGGATGCTGAGCACAGGCATTTATCGGAAAAGGAAGAAATCTCTTAGCCTCTGATAGTTCAGGCTCAATTTCTTCAAGTATTTTGAGGCTTTTTTTCCCCCTTTCAGAGTGAAAGTACTTGAGAACCTCAGAGCACAAATAAACTTCCAGTCTTAAAGCCTTTGGGCGCCCTTGGAAAGGTAAAGGTGTAGGTGTGAAATAGACCACAGGGTTGTTCCCACCATTTTTTCTGCTTCAATGTTGTTAAATATATTGCAGACCCTGCTTTTCAGTCTGATGAAATCTGAAACAAATAATACCCTGATCCAACAGTAGACTTTTACTTATATTAAGATAAACTGCTTTGAACTGTGCTTTGAATGTGTGCCTAAAGCAAGACTTTGAATGCAAGAGTCACTGGCAATTGCACTCAAAGGAGGGAAACGCCACCACACGAGTTGCCACATCCACAGTCCCAGAGGTACTAGTCTTTGTATTTTGTATGTTTATTTTTCGGGGGGGGGGAGGAGGAGGAATAACCACTCAGCATGACCACAGCTCGATCTTGTTGTGGGATGCAAGAGAGCAGATTTTCACAGTTGGCTAAAGATTCACTTCTTTTCCTAATTTGAGTTTTACAATAAAATAGCTGAATAAAATGATCACTTCTATACCCTATCAAAGATAAAGTACCTGCAGAAGATCTCTCTGTACTGGATATTTTCAGTCTAAAAGATATTTATAAAGATTTCCAACATGGATCAGACACATTTATAGCATGTACTGTACATTTCTTATGCCATCATATACCTATACTAAATAAAATATGACTTATTAAGTTACTTCTCTAACATTACCATTGTTCATAACCTTTTATTCACCTCTTTTTTCTTTTCTTTTGTCTTTAAAAATACTGGAGTTCAGCTTTCTCTAGAAGTTTGCCTTTTGAGCCTCCATCTCTCCTGTCCACGAAAGAAGGAGCCCATTAGCATGAGGGTGATTTCATGCAGGCAAGATGCTCTTTCCAGGCACCCAGGTAGCCACTACAGCCCAGGCACACACTCAAACGTCACCACAGGTCAAATCAAATAGCTAGCAAAACACGTGTCTTTATTATGTATATTAAATGTCTTGTTTCTTAGGATCTGACAACAACAACAAAAACCACCCCAGGACTATTAAGTATTTCCATTTAAAAAACATGTAATCATCTGATTATCCTGGACTCAGTCAGCGAGTAGCAGGAGGCAGCCCCCAACACTCAACCCTGGGAGTTTCTACAGACAAGTATTTGATGTGGACTTTAACAACAACAACAACCATCACCACCACCACCACCACCACTCAGTTTTCTAGGTTCCCATTAAAGTGCCTGTTTAGGTGAGGGCACTTGAAAGAAAGGTCTTCGCCAGGGCTGAGGGGCCAGGTTGTCTATTGCCCCTGCCTGGCACTCCTCTCCCGGAGTGTGTGGACGAGAGTGTTCCTGTTTCCACCTAAGTAGAGACGTTTGGATCGGAAGAACCGGGAATACAGATTTGTTCGGAAGTCTTCACTCAGTTCGAGGGCCAGGTCAGGGACAATGGGGATCGTGGGATGAGCGGGACACCAGAGCGCTGGACGTAGGGAACAGTCGAGAGAGAGAGAGAGAGAGAGAGAGAGAGAGAGAGGGGGGGAGGGGGGGGGGAAGCTGGGTGGGGGGGAGGCTAGGGACTGCTAGCTTTCGGCTCCCCACACAACAAAACAAATCCTGCAAATGAATCGCTCCTTCCCCGGCTGTGTTTTCCGTTAATAATCCACTTCGAGATTAGTGCAGACGAAGAGGATTAAAACAACAGATACATGCAAATGTGAAATAATATTGCAACCGACATTGGAAGGAGAAAAATAATTCTTTAGGATTTCCTTGAGTAACACAAACTGCTCTCCTGCACCCAGACGGGCTGAGGATGCACTTTTGTTTACCAGCTCCCTGCAGCCAGGACGTGGAGCCTGTCCCCCCATTCACCTCTCAGTCTGTCAATTTCCTCAACTTTCACAACCTCTCCTCCTCCTCTCGCCCCCGCCCCCCACTCAGCTTGATGGCCCAGATGCCCCAAGAGGTAAAATGCTTCTGCCCTTGTCCACACATAAGCTGTAGAAGCCATTCGGATTTTTTTTCTGTCATAGCTAATGATTTCTTTAAAAAGAAAAAACCAAATTGTGTTTATTTTGTACCATGGGGAGAAAATTTAAAAAAAGAGTCTATTCTCGTTTCGAAACGGAATTGATCTTTTCATCTGAAGGAATTATTTCGACCGTGCGTGGCTACGCAGGAGGAGGGCAACTTCTTTCAGAGTTGCAAGCAAAGGGTGATAAGGGGAGACCCCTGGGTGGGGTTTGTGTGTGAAGGGGGTGGGGGACGGCAGGGGTCCAAGCCAAGCCAAACGGTTTTCTCACGTGCAAACTCGCAATCCAATCCTTTCGGAGTTGAGCCTAGGAAAGGAGGGGAAAGTCTATTAAAAAAAAATTGAAAGCATCTTGCTAAGAAGCCCTTTCAAACAAAACCAAAGCTGGACCAGAGAACCCCAGACTGTCCCCACAGCCCCGCGGCGAGGCCCCTGCGCTGTGGGATCTCGCCAGTCACCTGGTCCCCGCAGGACGGCCAGCTGATTGGAGGTGGGGGGGGGGAGGACTTATTTTATTTCGAAGTAAAGACTGAATCTTGGCTTCAGGACACTTGCAGCGTCTCTGCTCACCAGAACCCAGCAAACTTCAGGACCCAAATGAGCATCTTAATTTATTGATACAAAACAGGTCGGCTGGTCGTCCCCAATTCTCTGCGCGCTTTGCACCCCTCCCCCGCCCCGAGCCTAGGTCGTTCCCGTCTGATTTCAGGGAAAGGCCCCGCAGCACAAGCAGAGCACGTGTGTGTGTGTGTGTGTGTGTGTGCGTGTGTGTGTGTGTTGGGGGGGAAGGGGGAAGCGTCCGACCCCCTCCTGCCCACCCTCCCCCTCCCTCCCTCTTCCCCTCCTTCCCTCCCTCCAGGCCTTGACCAGACCGGTCCCCGCCCCGGAGCCCCGCGACCCCCGCCCCGCCGCCCGGTCAGCTGACCTGGCTAGCTCGCCTGCTCCCCGCCCGCCGCCCTGTTTCCGGTCCCCAGGGTCCGCGAGCCGCGCTCGGAGAGGGAGCCGCGGCGGCCGGGAGGTGATGCGGGGGGCTGATTATCATGAGAAAGGCTGTGCCTGGAAAAGCCTCCTCCACGCGACTGTCAATCTCACTCAAGGGGGTGGACGGGAAAGGGCCCTGTAGGAGTCACCAGAAAACTTGGAGTAAGTTGGACGCGACGCAGGCCGGAGGAGATGGCATTCGCCTCCACTTGGATGGCTGGGGCGCAAAGGGCGCGGACGCCAGCAACCTCACCGGGGAATAGAAATCCAGAAAGCTTCCCCTTCCCTTCCTCTGGCCCCGCTCTCAGCCCTCCTTGCCCTTTATACGGATTCTTTTTTTCTTTTTTTTTTTTCCTCTTGAAATTATTTCCCAATTGCATTTCCTACATTCTCTTTTATTTCTAGATCCCTTCTGCCAGGTCTTTTCTTTCTTCACAACCCCCTCTTCTCCCTCCTTGGGTTTCTTTTTTGTGTTTCCTTTATGTGTCCAGATTTATCTTTTCGTTTTTTTAAAACACAACCTTTAATATGCAATTAATCTACCAGCAGGAGGTCAGGGACACCCTGACTGAAATAACTCCCGGTGTCTCAGAGACTACACGTTCACCAGGTGTCAGTGAAAAGTTAAAAAAAAGACTTAAATCAATATCTCAGCGACCACAATATACTATTATTCTGTATTATCAGATCAGCTCTGGCTGATTATTATTTTTTTAAATGAGATATAATCTTCCTGGAAAAATATGCTTAGCATTTGGAATAGGGAGAGTCTTTCAGAATTAAGGCCATGTGCA